TTAGGGGTGGTTTATTAAACAGCAACAGATGACAGGACCAATTATGTTCCTGTCATTTAACTCATTTAATCTTCAGAAGAAATCTATTAGCTGGGTATTATTATTCTCTGCATTTCACAATGCGGACTGAGCCTTAAGAATGGTTAATGCAGCTAATAAATGGTAGAACCAAGATTCAAACACAGTTACAGAACCAGAGATGGTAAAGAACATTATCATACATAGTGTGGGCAAGAAACTCTGCTAGGTACTGAGAAAATATGAAATAAATGTATGAAATAACCCGTTTTTGTTTTTTATACTTACGTAGGCAAAATAAGGAGTCAAGACATGTATAGGTGGCAATTACTCTCTTCTCAAAGTCTTTAATTCAACAACATGGCAAATGGTGCACTCACTCATTAATCAAGCATTCAGTAAGTGGCCACTGGGTGCTAACATGGTATTAATCAGGAAACCAGCCAACGGGATAGGCAGAGAACAAAATGTAGTGACATGAAGGAGAGGGCGCCTTTATAACTCAACCATGTGTGTTCTAGGAGTGAGATTTCCAAAACACCTTGCTAATAAAAGAAAAAACAGTAGGACTGAAGGTTGAGAAAATGGTTCATCAAAGTGATACATGACTCATGCACAGAGAAACAGATTCTAAAAGATTACATAAAGCATGGAAGAAATGACCAAAATAGGTACGTATGTTCCCGGGGGGAGAGGGAAGGGGGAGAGATACGAGGAGGAGGGAGCCTGCACAGGATTGTTTCTGGGAAGAATAAATTGAAATCAATGTGAAATATGTGGCATTCAAAGTTATTCACATTTAGGGGAATGATTTACATGCACAGTTTTAAGATTCTGCTGTATGTTTTTCAAATTTTATTTACAAATTCCAAATAAGATGTTCTGAGGAATAAAAAGGAGTTTTGTCCATAGTGCCAGGGAAAACAAGGATGGCTCTTTAAGAGACAGACAATGTTTCTATCTCTTCTAGATTTCCTATGTCAAGTAGCTCATATAATTTTTTAATTGGAGAAAACTTAAGAAAAATCTAGGAAAATGCAGGGGTAGTGCGGTAGGACAGATTCTACACTGCCTCTCAGTTTGCCCAGGGAGACTTTTTGTGTTTGGTCAGAATGCATTATCATCACCTGCCTTTAAGCTCAAGTTACTGGAGATAGAGGTAGAGAGAGAGGTAGAGAGAGAGGTAGAGAGAGAGAGAGAGAGAGAGAGAGAGAGAGAGTGTGTGTGTGTGCGTGTGTGTTCTCTAATGTAATGGTTTGTAGCAGAAATGAGATCTTGGTCAATTCCATTTTCCACCTTTAAAATGGAAATTAACATACTGTGATTGTATTGGGTGCAAGATAAGCTATAAGGATGTATTTTACAACGTGGGGAACATGGCCAATATTTTGTAACAACTGTAAATGGAGTGTAACCTTTAAAAATTGTATAAAAATTAAAAAATGCTATGTTTGTTACAATATTGCCACTAAAATACAATTCTGATTTTACATAATGCAAAGTTAATTATTTTAAAAACTTTACTTCAAAGAAACTAAACTACTCACAAAGGTATTCATTAGTTCACATCTCCAAGATACTGTATCTTTATTTAGATGAGCATTTGGTTCTTGAAAATTAAGTCTTGTTGGCTCGGTATTCTAACATTGCTGCATTATTTGAAAATAAGCAGAAGGTTTGTAAACAGGGGGTTTAAAAAAACTAGAGGTCTAAGCTCCTAACTGATGAAGGAGTAGCAACCAGCATATGGAAGGATCAGTGTTGAGTCTAGTATTAATTGATCTGGTTTATAGATGCAGTAAATGGGGACATGAGAGAGTTGTACAAATTCATGTGCGAAATGGCTAAGACAATGGTTATCTAGCTAATCTTCATATCTGTTAAGATTAGTTTCTTCCACCCCACACCACAAGAAATAGGAAGAACAGTAACCATTTAATGACAATTTTCCTATTATTAAAATTAGTAAAAACCATAATGAATTCATAAATTCATGATCACCATTATTGATTAAATGTGATGGAGATCAACATTAGCCAGAAAATGTTGACATCTTGGACCACAATTTAGGTATATTCTCCGATGGACTAGAGGACACGGGGAGGGGGAAGGGTAAGCTGGGATGAAGTGAGAGAGTGGCATGGACATATGTACACTACCAAACGTAAAATAGCTAGCTAGTGGGAAGCAGTCGCATAGCACAGGGAGATCAGCTCGGTGCTTTGTGACCACCTAAAGGGGTAGATAGGGAGGGTTGGAGGGAGACGCAAGAGGGAGGTTATATGGGGACATATGTATACGTATAGCTGATTCACTTGGTTATACAGCAGCAACTAACACACCATTGTAAAGCAATTATACTACAATAAAGATGTTAAAAAATAAGTAAATAAAAAAATAAATTAAAAAATAAGTATATTCTCTGTCTTGTGCATTTTTTTCCATAGTGTTCTCTCAGCATGGAAGGCCTGATATTCATTCACAGAGCATTTCTTAGGTTTCTATTACGTGCCAGGCTCTGGGAGACAAAACCAAATAAGATACAATTCCTTTCTCAGAGGATTCACAATTAAATAAAAGTGGACGGGTAGCAAAGTAAATACTATGTGCACTTACGAGGCCTAGATACTGATAGAAATGTGCATAAGGAAACAATGCTCCACAGACAACGAAGCCAATAATAAATTTTTTCCTTGGGAGAAATATCAGGAAGGGCTTCACAAAGAAAGGGGTTTCTGAGTGGAGTCTAGAAAGGAATGTGAGACAGGGGCCCATTCCAGAAGAGGCCTGAAGGCACGAAACAGCCCAGGCTGCTTCCTTTGAAAATGTTCTGCTTTGATAGATGGATAGGTAAAAAAGAATCGATATAAAAAAAAGAACAGAATAGATATATTCTATAATGTATATGTTATATACATTATATAAAATATATGTAAATATTATATATATGAATATATATAATAAATGAATATGTGTGTACAGATACACTACGTGTATAGATACACACACATATATATATATATGTATTTTGCATTCTTTCAAGCAAAGTAGCCATTTCCACCAGCCTTTCCTACACATTCTTTCTCTGGCCCTCCATTTCTCACTTGATCCACAGTTTTGTTTTTTAAAATGCTTACTCTGTGTGCTCTCACATTTGGGAGCAAAACAGCACCCAGAAAATACCTGAAATTTAAATTATTAATCATAATTTTATTAAGTCGTTTATGTATAAATCTAAAAATATTTCTTAGAAGGACACTATCTCATCATTGTTTTGACTGCTTCTGCGCTACTGTGATAGAGTTGAGTAGGTGTGACAGAGTGCATATGATCCAAAAATTTAAAATATTTACTATCTGACACTAGAGAAGTTTGCCTATTTTTAGTGTAGAATACACAGTCCAGAAATAAATCAATACGTAAATGGAACTTGGAATCAAGATTATGTTACCACCTAGCAATGGGGTAGGAGCCTTTTCAACAAATAGTGCTATGTAAATTGAATAATGATATGCAAGAAGAAATTATTCCTGACTTCAATCTTAAACCATGCACAAAAACCAATTTCATTTAAAAGTCAAACAAATAAAGCTTCTTCAAAATAACACAAGAGATGTTAAAAAGATTTTTAAAAAACTAACCGCTGATAAAAAGCAATAATCAAAAAGGAATAACTTAATACACTAAACTTCAATAAAATCAAATCAAGATGTTCTGATTTTCAAAAGACATCGTTAATAAAGAGGCAAGCCACACAGTGGGAGAATATACTTGCAACCTATAGAACCAACAAAAGACTCTAGTTCTTTCAAATACAAATACATAGCCAGCTAGCTAGATCGACCCAATAAGAAACAGGCAAGAGACTAGAAGATATCCAAATAACCTGGTCACATAAAATGGTGGTCCACATCATTAGTCAATCAATAATATGCATTAAAAACAAAACAAAAAAAACACTATCCCATCATTGTTTTAGAGCAAGTAGAGCTAAATGCACTTACTTCAAATACTCTGGTGCCACCTGGCGGTTTGTTTCCATATGACAGCCTACTGATAAATTGATCACTTTTTAATTTTGTTACAGAAAACTTTTAAAATACTATACTCAAGCATCTGCTCAACAACTATTTATTAAGCGTTATGTTGGGATCCGAAATATTGTTAGTCATTAGGTTCACAAAGATAAATAATAAATGGACATTTTCTCAAGGGATGTATTTTCTGGTGTGTGTTTTGAGGGAGGGACTGGAGAGGAGATATAAAGATAACACACTGTTACAGCACCTGTAATAGACCCGGAAACCATGTCTGTATCTTTATCATCGTTTGTGTCAGGCTAAAAAAAAAAATTCCTGTGCTGAACGATTTCCTCTGCTTAGGAAAGCTAGAGAGGTATATCTATGTTGACCACTCTTCATGCAACTAACAAGAGATTAAGAATCTAAAAAGTAGCTGATTATATTAAAATCTGTCAAATTGTGTAATTTACATTTTGGGGGAAGAAAGAGCATCCTGGTTTCATTTAATAATAGTATCAACAGCAGAACTCAAATCACTTGGCATTCCCTTTTCCACCACTCCCCCATCGTTTCCTCTCCTGCCCCAGGGTACCTGAAAACTACTTCCAGCCCGAATCTGCTCAAGTAGGGCTATACCATGCCTGTTGTTAGCTGAGAAACCCTTTACCCACCTCAACAGTTGTCTTTGATAGCAGCTGCTATCTGCTTAGCACTGTTTAGACCGGTGTTTTCAATAGCCCTTTTCATGTTTGGGAAGAAACAATTATTCACTCTAGACAGTGTCCCACACATTGCAGTGTATTTGGCATTCTTGGAATTTAGGCATCCAAGTACCTGCAGCCCTCATCATCCTTTCAAACAAAATATAATGCTTCCATACATTTTCAGATGCTCCCTAGAGGTTTAGAGCATATAGGTGAGCAACGAAGTACACACAAGAAAAATACTTATTCATTTATTCAACAATTTATTAAGCATCTATAATTATGAGACAAATAACATATACAGGGAACTCACTGATTGGAGAGACAAAATAAACATAAAATCACAATTCATGTTATTGTAAAAATATATTCGAGGTGGTACTAAGAAAACAAAAGGAAAAAAATGACTGGGAGAAAAGAGATAGCTATAAACTGCAGGAAAAAAACGTATCTCGGTTTTGAAGGAAGCGTGGGGCAGCCCAGGGAAGGGGGGGGAGACACTGCAGTGGTGGAAACAATTTGAAATTGTTTCCTGAGCCGAAGGGGCGGGGCCGGGGGAAAGGTGGTTTTTGAACCACCTGCGGAATCTGAACGGTGTTCCGCTCTTCCGACTCTGTAATCATGCCTTGGGGTCTGAGTTACTCTCACACCATCAGCCATGACTCGCCGTGAGGCGCCATCTGGCCCTGTTACCACGTCGAACCCCCTCCCGGCCTCCGTGTTACATTTCAGATCTCTGCTCCCTCCTTTCGAAGCGTTCTGCCCGAACCTCAGACTTGAAAGGTCTACAAGCGAGCTTCTGGTCTTTCCTTCCCAACTGTCGCCTCCTCCGGGCACTATTTTAACCTCAAAGTCACTTCGTTTTCTTTCTTTGAGATTTCCCTGCTGCCATAGAAATCAAGTCAGTTGCTATTCTCTGCTCTAGTTTTCTGGAACAATATATTTTTTATAAATTTTTTCTTGTAAACTCCAAGTGCTATAATGCAGGAACGTCATTCCTGGGCTACTCTTTGCCTCCCCCGCCCGGCCCCTGAGGCCCTGCTCTCCACCCTCTGCCGTCACCCATGCCCTTTGACATCACACACATCTGACATTTGACTTTAGTGGCTTTGGTCTCATGCTCAAAAACGTAAGGGCCAGTGACGGAAGAAAAGAGAACTGTGCTTATGCTGGCGTTTGAGGTCCCCCGCAATCTGGACCCCAGCTAACTCCTTAATCCATCTAGGGACGGTCCTTGACTTTCAGTGCCGGGAACTGGTAGTAATGACGAGTGCAACAGTCAAGAAATTCTGAGAGCTTTCTATACCTCGACACTCAGAGAAGGGCTTTATATAAATTTTCTCATTGAGCCTTGACTACTTCATTTATTTATTACCCCTTTTAGTTCCCATTTTGCAGATGAAGAAACAGAGGTTTAGAGGTTAGGTAACTTGGCCACATTTTTTTCACTTGTAGTAAAGGATAGAGCCGGAATTTGACATATGAAGTTATTTCTGATTCTTAATGCCATGCTATACTTCCGATTTTCTCCTCTCTCTCTCTCATTCTCTTTTTCTCTATCTCTATTCACCCCTCTCTATTTTCTGAAACAAATTTTAATACATGACCTAAAATGCCTCCATTTTGTCCCGTCGGAATTCAGCCCATCTGTCAGATCCTCAGAGCCCACTTTCTCCATAAACACCCCCCCTCCCCCATCCACTTAAGTCGGAGTCACCTCCCCCTCCCGCCAAGCCAGTGGTTCCCACCTTTGGCTGCACGGTCGGTCGGAATCACCTGTGGAGACTTGACATAATTGGTTGGGGAGCACCTGGGCATCACGATTTGTCAGTCTCTCAAGGTGATTCCAATGTACAGCCGGGGATGAAAAACGGCTACAAGATCTTAACGCTTTTTTGGACTCCACAGCTCTTTTGGCAACTAGAATCACAGACTAGCATGATTTCGAGATAGATTTGGAGATCAGCTATTTTATCTGTAAATGAGAATGTTGAATATTATTAGTAATATTCAAAAATCTTTGGCAAAAGACTTTGAAATTATTCAGAGACACCCCGAAATTATGTAAAAAGGAAAGTTGAACTTCTTTCATGGAAATGGAGGGGGGAAATGTCAGATCCCACTAATTTGCCTTTTTCCCTCATTACAACTCTGGGGTCCCTGAAGGAACTACATCAACCTCTAGGGCACCGAAGATCAAACCCTGAATACGCTGCATTACATCAGTCCTTTCTGTCTGTAAGAGTCTGACGGTCTATGGTATCATGGCTAAACAAAAGATGAATTATCTATGTGTTAGTTCTATTATCAGACTACTTCTCTTTCAACAATGTGTCATTTAGCTGACAGAGTGTCCATTTCTTAGGGAATCAGATTTATCTAATAAAAAAAATAGTATTTTCAAATGACCTAGGAATGGCACTGTGTACCAAACAGCTGATATTAATATTTCAAACTCACACCACCTCTGAGGACAAACGCCAGTGAAGAAATTGAGGGTTGAGGGGTTAAGTGACCCACCTCGAAATGTGGTACAATTTAGTGCCAAACTCCCCACTCCTAATCCAGTTTATTCTATTTTTTATAAATATTTTATGAGCCTCTCCTTTACCTGCCACCATGGGCATAAAAACATTTCCACTAACGAGTAGCACAGAGCCGTCTCTAAGCTACTTGGAACCAAAGTTCAGCTGGAATTTAGTATAATACACAATTCACAAGACATTTCCAGAGATCAGCGGGGGGCAGGGGAAAAACACAATTCAGTTTTGCATTCATGTAAGGTAAAAGGCACTGGAGACATTTTTTTTCTCAATGACAAATACAAAGTAAAATTCTTTGTAACAACAACAAAAAAAGTGGCATATCAAGCTTGCATTCCACAACTATCAAGGAAAGATTAAAGAAGAAATAAATCAATGAAGAAAACCTGTTATTTCAAAACAGGTCAAATTGTAACAAAAGGAAGAACATTTTAAAAATATTCTGGCATGGGTGTCTCAGTTTTCTGAGAAAGCTCTGCTCACCACAGCTCATTTTTATTCCCATTTTACTTTTCCTCTTCCCCCATCAGATTGTTTTCCTTACTACATGAGGATCCGTGCAGAGGTCTGCCAAATTAAACTGTCACAAGAATACAGGGGATAAAGATTCCCAATAGTGAGGGAACCTTAGATGAATAATCCATCAGGGTGTGCCACCACTCAGTCAAGGCAGTAATACACTCAGTGGGACACACATCCATCCACAGGGACTGAATCCTTTCAGTTTAATATATCTTATTACTTGTGCCAACAATCTTGAAAGGCACATCATGCCCTAGAAATTACAAAGTAATTGCTTTTTTTAATTAACAGCCAAATAAAAAGAAACCAATAGCAACAGAACTGAATAACTTAAGTCCTATTTAAAAGAATTTAGTTCAATATTAAACTTGGAGTTCTTCAATTAAAGACACATCCGCTCTCAATTCTTAAATCTTTGTAAGAAAATACAAAGATTTAAGAATTGAGAGCAGATCTGGAAGTTGGCCATGTATATTTAAATTTATACATATTGTATAATGTGTTCTAATATTTAGCTAATACTTTTACCTTGTGTGTTTAGAAAACATTGTTTCATCCATTTTAAATAAGAAATTCATTGACTGTAACTGATATCTAGCTTAACTGAGGCAAGTGTTTAGGTTGACCAGCATTTATATAGTTTAGGGGGACACACATGGAGGTATGACTTGGACATAATGTGCTGAATGTCCTTAGCTTTCTTCTGAGGGAACTGACCTAGGAATTTCATATACGTAGGTTGTCAATACTGGGCACAGCTTCTTGGAACAGGGGTGGTTGTCATACCCTAAGGCAGCCATCCACAGGTGACTGTCACAGGATTCTGTCCATAAGAAAAGCCGTTATACTGGATGATGACAACTCAACCAAAATGAATACTCTCTCTTGGGGAAACTTGCAAAGACAGAGTCACTTAGCAGTAGCAGAAGTAAAAGCAGGTGAAACAAAGATGAGCTGGGGTATAAAATAGCCAAGGTCAACAGGAAAGACGGACCCACATTTCTGGAGGCAGCACCAGAGAACCAGGTTATGACCAGAGGAATGTCGAACACTGAAGTTCCACTTCTCCCTAAGGCATGGCTACAGAATTACAGTTTTATTCTGAATGTGGGGCTGGAAATGTAGCTTTTTAGGCTACTTCCTGCTCTTCCTCAATCAAAAGTCCTATTATATACTGTAACCAAACACGTCTCTGTTCCTTGCAGCCTCAAAAATCCATAAGGCCATGTGGCTTAAATACCTTTATGCATGATCAATAAGGTAAAAAAAAAAAAAAAACAGAAAAAAACAACTATGGATTTCAGGGCCAATTGCTCTTTTTTGTAATGTCATGACTAGTTTTCAAATTTTCCTCTATACTACCACACAGTTGATCAACAACACTAAATAATCCTAACTTGTGTTATAAATTTTTAAAAGGTAGTATGGTGGTGAAGTTCTTCAGTGGTGAAGAACACAGTCTCTGGGGCATTGGTTCAATCTCAACTCTGCTACCTAACAGCTCTGTGACCTTGAGTATACTTCTAAATTTCTCTGAACCTCAGTCTCCTCCTCTGTAAAACAGAGATATTAATTGTATCTACCTCATACAGTCTTTGTGAAAATTAAATGAATTACACAGGTAAAGCTGATAATAAGCACTATATGAGAATGAGTTATTAAGATATTATTATTATTGAGAAAATAATTTAAACACTAGAAGACTGAATTTTAAAACAGCATCATCTACTTTTAAAAAGGTGATTAATCTTAATGGAAGCTGATGGCATCCTTCATCCTCAGAATGCTTTCATTCGTATTATTCTACTGAAATATAAAGGTGAAAATGAAAGCAACTCTCAAACGATACCAAGTGAGCACATTGCTTCATTACACTTAACTTCAGATACAAGATTTGGCAAGAAAAATATGCTTAACCGAAATATTCTGAATTCTTCTATTATACGGACAAGCACGCTAAGCTATTCATAAAAATTCCCGGCCCCAGGATATTCACTGGAGCTATTCATCAAATAATTCAAACAGCTGATAAAGAGTTGACCGAAACAAAAATGATTGAATTCCTCTCCAAAGAACCGGAGTGAGCCTCTGGCAAAAACAAGAAGCTATTATGTCTTGTCCAGTTTATTTGGTCTAGTGATTCAAAGAACACTGTTGCATCCCTTATCATCATTTCCCTTTCTAAGGTTCTGATATTCATTAGGAGAGGTCCTTAGCGACCCTGAAGAGTTCATGTTCATTAACTACATTAGATTGAATAAACTGGACATGGCCTTGCAGAGCGATAAAACAAAAGGAGCCAGCAGATGCGGGACATGAGTGCCTGAAAGTGGCTTTCAGGGATGCGCTCACTGGCCGGGCCCTCCCCATCGGAGGCCTCCAGCCGCGGACTCAGCAGTCCTCTCCACCCCCTTCCTTTCCTGTTTGCTCTTAGGGCTGGATACTTTTTATGAGCAAGAGGATTAAGAGGCCCAGGGGCAGATGCTCTTTTACAGTAAGTACTACTGCAATCTCCAAGCAAGCTTTCCATGCTGCTGATGGCAATCACTCCCCAAAGAGACATTTCTTAAATACCTATTTTAAGATCCACATTTTGGTAATTTTATTAAGTTAGAAATTAAACACTTGCTGGCTCAAGTGCATCACTGACTATGAGCAAAACGGTGCTTAGAGACCTTTTCAAAGTATATATTCTCTACATTGCTCAGCACCACCTTTGTCCAGCTAAACACACGGCAAAACGGGTGAATGCCCGGGACATGTCTGTGCTGCCGGCCGCAGAGATGATAAATCCAAAGCATGGTCAGAAGGAATTTGAGGCGTCTCTGAAAGACTTGGAGAACTCCGATGTCACATTCCAGACCCTCACACTGTGTCTGTGGAACACATCAGTAAAGTTTCCATGATAAAAATGCTGGATTTTTCTCTGGCCCTTTGAACAGAGAATATAATCTCAGTGTTTTCTCTTATGTGTCGTGAGAGGTAGAAAGCATTAAATCTAGAAAGGACATTACATGACTTGTTTTAGCCCTGACAGTTCTAAAATGATACATGTGCCCCTGGTGAGTGATGGGAAGACATTAATGAAATTAATTATTCAGGCTTAGTTCATTCATTGTTAATATTGACATGGCCATTTATTGATACTCATTTGGGTAAAAGCAAGCCAAGAAGGAAAATCAAGAAAATAAAAAGAATAAGAAAGATGAAATTACACAGAGTCTCGATTTGTGCTTTGACCTTACTACAAACCATCTCTGTATCTTTTTCTTTCCCCAAGCAATTTATCATCCTAGTGACCTCTGCATAAACATGTTACGATCTAAGTCTCCTTACGAGAAAAATGTTCAATGCAATCAAGCATATTTCTTTTTGTAAAACCTTTGGTTGTTTTAAAATGTCAACAACTTTACATGTTGGTAGGTATTATATGCATATGTGTAAGTAATATAAACATGTGTATGTGTATTTATATGTATTCACACATGTATGCATGCGTAGTTATATATATATACTATATATAATATATATTTGATGGGGTCTATATCCATATCTTTAACTGTAACTATATCTATATATTTTTATGTAGATAGGTAAACAAAACTTAATCCTTTCCAGGTCTTGAATTTCTTGGGTAATCTGATAAGCTCTCCTAAGGAAAATGCACCTGTGTACAGCTATAAAAACCAATGTTACCAGCAAGGTATGCATTCACCTCCAAGTCCATGGGTCACTAATTAGGAACCTTGGGTAAGCCTTACACTGGTCAGCAAAAATGTTCAGTTTAGAAAAATATTAGGGAGTTATTATAATATATCATTTTCTATATTATAATAAATAGGACAAGAAACATTAATCTTCCTCTGATTTTATTTTCAAGTCAGGCCAGAGGAAGTGCCTTAAGACAATG